AATAATTTATTTATTAAATAAACAAAATCCCAAAAATCCAATCTCCAATGACCCGGAGTGCATACTTGTCCGCACTTTCGTGTATTTATATAATAAATGACATCACAAGCGGCCAATTCCCAATGACCCAGAGCGCTTACTTATCCGCACTTTCGTTTATTTATATAATAAATGGAATTCCAAGTTGCCAATCCCCAATGACCTAGTTAATAAAATAAAAATAACAAAAACATACGTAATTAGAAGTTAAACTACGGGACATACTATAAGCTTATGTAAGTTTTTGCTGGCAGTTATTTTTATTTTTTTTTTCCTTATTGAAATACATTTAAATATTCATTTATTTACGAATTATTAAGGACAGGGGAGCGTGCACGCATAAAAAGCCAACACATTGGGGATAGGCCGCCTGTAATTTCGTTTACTATATAAATAAACGTATGTGCAGACAAGTAATTGCTCTGGGTCATTAGGGATTGTCCGTTTGAGATTTTATTTATTATATATAGAAACGAAAGTGCGGATAAGAAAGCGCTGTGAGTCATTGGGGATTAGCCGCTTGAGATTGCATTTATCATACAAATAAACAAAAGTGTGGACAAGTAAGTGCACTGAGTCATTAGGGATTGGTTGCTTGAGATTTCGTTCTTGTAATAGATAAATAAAAGTGCGGACAAATAAGCACTCTGGATTATCGGGGATTTGCCGTTTGATATTTTGTTTGTAATATAAGTAAACGAAAGTGCGGACAAGTAAGCGCTCTGGGTTATCGGGAATTGGCCGATTGGGATTTGCGCAAGTTCTCAGCACGATCTTGGCACAATGGGTACAGGTACGCATTTGACGATTGCTTCATTTATTTTTTATATCAATTTTCGTGTGACAACAGTATTTCACTTTTGCAACAACAATCATTTTCTATTTTTTGGGATCCACAACAGACTACTAAACAAGAAGATTTGTATACACAATAAAATAAAAAAAAGGACATGTGTAATGTATTTTTCTAAAAAAATAAAATACACATTCGTTAAAAGAATTTATTTTACTGTCACGTGTAGTTTTTTTTTAATAATACGGGGATTAAGTTAAACAGACATATTTAAATAACCTTAAAAACAATTTCATAGGAAAATGCAAATTATCAATAAATATCTAATAAATCGTCCACCAACATAATTAAGTTAACATTTTTGACACGTAGGACAACCTTCTTTTTGATTCTGACCTACTTTTGTAAGCCAATCTGTGAGAAAAGTGATGGGGCTAAATGGTAACGATAGTAATTATGTTCATTATTATGAAGTCAACGGCTGCATATCAAAAGCGCCAAACAGCCCATTTTTTGACACACCATAACCGCCAAATAAGACCATTTGAAAGCACCAAATAAAATCTTTTAAAAGCCCCAAATAGAATACAAAACAAATACATGTATACAACGTACATCCTAGCATAAGCTTCGTAGTCGTTGAATGTACTATGTGATTTTCATTTTTTAGTTTTTGAGCAAGCTTCGTTTTGTAGATTTTGCACTCGTAATGTCTGCTTATATTGTAACCATGACTAACAAAGAAAATACTTGTCTAATTCACAAAAATCATGAGTACAGAAAAGTTGGTTTTAATACTATAGAAAAAAAAATTGTTTGGCGATGAACTATCTGTGGATGTGATACAAGATTAAATACAAATCAATGTGTCCTGCAAATAATACACACTTTAAAAGACCATCAAAATTACATAGCTCGTTTGCAAAAGATTCATTGATCCCAAAATAACGTCAAGAAGCATAAAAGTATGTTTTCGAGTAAGTAAAAGCATCTTTCTAAAGTTAGCTTCCAAATAAGCTTCAAATCAATATATAATCAAACTATGACTTTTATTTACTGATACTAGTCTTGTATATGTATCTAGATGTATCACAATTTCTGCAAAATATATGGTTTTCAATATCAACGGTTTATTGTTTTGTTTCATCTGATATTTTTCCTTTGATGTTTTTGAAAGGTCCCGTTTGGCTCTTTTGAAGCATTTAAGTTGGGGCTTTTGAAAAGTTTTATTTGGTGCCTAAAAAAAAAAAAATTTATGATTTGGAGCTTTGAAAGTCAACAGAAGTCAACTACATATTTTTTGTGTGCTGTCGAAATACCTTTATAATGTAATAATTATTTACTTTTTTCCGTGTCAAGCATACTGAAAAATTTTTTCATTTTACTACTCTCGATCTTTTGGTTAATTTACTATGTGAATGTTGTGATGAAGCTGGTGTCAACATAATTCATGTTTGAGAAATAAAAGTTTCCTAATATTGAACAGTAAAGTAATTACATATTCGATAATTGTCCTGATTTCTCAAATAAATTTAAGTTACAACCTAAGAAATAAGCTAGAATTATAAGCTTGTTATTAAAGTAGTAAAAAAAATTTCTTTAACCCATTAAAAAAACCAAAAAAAATCATGTTTGGAATGACCCCCCTAATTTTCTGTACAATATGGGTAGATACTAATACATTAACGTATATGTGGAAGACTATCACAATGTGACGTCACCTCATTTGAAATAACACGGTGTGACGTTACGCTGTGATAGTTTTCCAAGAACATGTCCACGTACCGTACTTTTCTGAAAGCTTGATTGTTTCAATTAATTCAGTACGATGGTTTCTTCTGAGCTCTTAATAAATCAAAATCTTGATCATTGGAGATGAAAGGAATGGGTTTGAAAGAGATTATTTAAGTAAGGGGAAGGTGGACGGAAAGTATCAAGGGGAGCTGTGGGGAAACAAGGGGAAGCTGCAACGCAGCAAGAGGGAGGGGAGGGGAGCTTTCTTAAATATCATGAAACTATAAATTACGTGAGAACAAGCAAATAACTATAAGAATTGAGGGGTTCTAAAGGGGCCGTGGATAAAGTGGGGGACCTGTAACCTACCTTTGACTTACCGTTTTTGCATTCTCTACAAGTTTAATCTTGATATCCTTGGTTTTCTTATTTTATCCAAAACTTATTTGACACCAATTTTTATTCTATGTTTTGCTGAATGTATATTTTTTGTTCCTTTTAACTGGTCTTCCTTTAAGGTTTTTTCATACGTTATCAGCACTGATAAACAAATTGGCTCATTTATGTTAGAGCTTAGAACTGCCTTAATAAATATTGTTGGACTTTATCTCTATTGCTGTGATTTTGAACATTCTATTATTTTTTACTTCTTGTTAGCACCTAGCTTTGACTAGTGCATTCAAATAATTCAGCCTTTCATAAAAGCTTCCTTTATCAGCTTGATTTCATACTTCCCACGTCTTATCTCCTTTTTAAGCCTGATGAGATTATCATAACATGTTGACCAACGTGTTCGTTGATATGAACAAAAATCCTAAATTAACTTTCTCGCTTACGGCTTTTATCCTCCTCTCCTGAGAATACTTTTAATCTTCTTGTAAGAAATGACGCCTTGTTTACACACTGACTCTGTTATTCTTTATTTGGTATTTCCTTTTAACGCCGTCTAGCTGGTAAATTTATTTTGTTTGGATATAAACATTTTTTAAGGTTTAAGTGGAACCTAATTCTTTCGAGTTTAGGAGAGAAGCCCCTAAACAAAGTAGATTAAGATGGATTTGTCAATCAATCATTCTACTAATAGTTTCGTAATTGACGATAAATATTTAACTCTTCTGCTTCTCAATGTTATTTGACTTTTTATTACAGATCCATTGTAGTTCCAAGAACTACTCAGCAGCGTAAGATGCAGACGGATACTTTGGTTAGTGCAGAAGCTGATGATGCATTCCTTGACTCTGAAGATGACGATGAAGATCATGATGAATGGAAGTAAGTTTTATGGTACAGATGAAATACTCTTATTCGTCTTATAACAATACTGTAACTATTTGAAACGTCATAATAAAGCCTAAGTGCATACACTTTGTACATTTACGATGATCATACTATTAACACGTCAGTAGTCAGTAGTACTAAGATTTTTAGAGTAAATTCTTTCCTTAATTTGTTTGTTAACTGGACTGCTTATATCGTTGCTTTGCTTTGTTTTTTCTTATAATAATTGTAATATTTTCTAATTTGGTTCAGATGGTAAGATGGTTTAAACGTAGAAAAATCCATTTTTTAAAATAAGTTAGTAAGTACAAAATTATACTAAAAATATTTTCTTTAATAGTGAACTGCATTCTAACAATATATTTTTATTGCTTAATTTTCTCAGAAAAATAAAAAAACATACTTCTTTCATTGCAAATTAATGTAAAGAGGAAACAAATCAAAAAAGAATGTGTAGGGCCAACCAACGTTAAACAAGTGCAAAAATAAAATTTTGTCATTATTTACCCACGAAAAGTAAGAATTGCTGGAGTTTCTTCTTAATTGTGTCATAAAACATCTATGAAACTGTTATTTTTGAAGCAGTGTTGTGCACCACCAAAGAAGCTGGAAATAAAAAATATATTAAGAATCTTTTTTAGTAATTACAGTTAATTTTTATTAAAAAAGATTCTTTGAATACAGGTATTTTCCAGATTTGTTTTTAATTTTCTCTATCAATTATAAACAAGTTTTGTTTTTAAATATATTAATGTAAAAAATGACGAAATATGGGACTAAAAAAATTTAGCCTCTACCAAATACAGTTAGTTATTACTCAGAACATTAGGGAAAAGTAATAGTTTTATTTTTTTTATTTTTTATTACATCTTAATTTTATCACCTTATTACACGAGTCATAAAACATAATTAGAGATATAATATAACATTGATTCACTATCATGTAAGCAGACAGCGTTTGTTTGTATGTTTCCAAAAATTTTAAAAACTACTAAGCCGATTATTTTCAAATTTTGACAGAAAGTAAATCGTAAGTTATTATGTGTCGTTGGCTATAATAGTTCATTTTAACTTAAGTAAAATCGTTTTTATAATACTAACAAGCTAACTGTAACATAGTTCTGCACAACAGCTTGCCTTTAGACCACTATAGGGCAAGTGGTTCAATTCCTACTGTTTTGTACGATTAGGGAGCTGCATCCAGAAATAATTTTATTAAATTTTATTAGTAATAATAAATAGATCTTTAATGCGTCACTCATCATGTTTATTGGAGTACATTAAATGTAGAGAAGTAACATGTTTACTCAATAATATTTTAATTAATTTTTTTCTTATACTGTATGACAACTACTTTTGTGTTCACAAGTTTCAATCTTGCCGTGTTATTTTACGCTATAATGAAGATTCGAATTCTTTGTTAAAAGCTCAGCATTCAGAATACGTTAATTATTAATATTTCTAAGTAGTAATAATTATTGTATCTGTTTATTTAGTAACTTCTTCGATTTTTCTATTATTCCGAATGAAGAACCACCATTCGATTTCTTTAGTCAAGTAAAAACATTATCCTTTACTATGTACTTATGTATTTTTTCATAATATGATATTGTTCTTTGCACACAGGGTAAAGAGTATTTTTGATCTCATGTATATTTTTTAGAGCAAAATTCAAAAGTGACAATTTTGAGGCTTTTTAACTTGCTTCTCTGGTGTGTGTACAATTTTTTATCACCTTGCGGATGAAAATAGGTACTTTTATCTTGCAGGTGAGAACAATAGTTTTGCTCTGTTTACTAAATTTTTAATAAAATGTAGGCTGTAAGCTTTCATAAGCTACTGAATACAAAATGTTAGAAATTAATCATGATGTTTGGTCTCACGTCACAAAAAAAATCAAACAATATAAATTGATTGATGTTGTAGTGAATACTGATAATGTAGTTTGCCATTTACAAAAGTTAAAAAAATTTAGTTAATGCAATTGGTTTCACTACACCTAGTCTCCAACATAAAGTTAAAATAGCAATAATCCTACTATATAGTCCAAATTCACTGAAGCTACGTAACAGTGCCTAATAAAAAATAAAAAATGTTAGTTACCAGATTATTAAGACAACTATTCTGACAGCTTTTAATAGAAGATAAGTATGGCTCTCTTACCTTTCGTAGATCTATGATTTGTACAGATTTATTAGTTCAATTGAAGTTAGGTAAGGACAAAGAAGCTTATTATTAGACATTCGAACATATTAATGTAGATTGATGAGATTTTTTTTCTCATGGACATTTTTGTGTGGAAATTTTGAAGCCAGGTACATCTGAAAACTGGTTAAAACTAACTACACATGATAAAGTAAAAACTCAGAGTTAAGTGTATTCTTGTACTTTTAATATATTGTAAAAAGTTATCTAATTTTAACGTAAACAATATTAAATATTTTGAATATTAATGTGTAAGAAATAGTCGCAGTTACAACCGGACACACTATTTTGTGTGTTATGAATTACCAGAAACGTATAAATGTATGAAAAAAAATTATCGCATTGAAATATAAACAAGATAAAATATAAAAACTATTTTTTTATATACAGAGGTCAAAGCCACGCAGGAAAAGTTAAATTAGTACATCACAAAAATTGGCATTTTTACAAAAATATGATTAGTCTTATGATAAAATCTCATATTATTTTTAGACAAGTTTTGTATTTTTTAAGCGAAGTGTATTATGTAGGACTCTCACATAACAGAAACAGAGAAAAACTTCGTACTTTTTCTTGACCCCTTTGTTTCTATTCGTCCCACCACTACCGCATGCTCTCTCGACAGCGAGAGTGTATTACACGGTAGCAGGGGCGCGTATGCTCTTTCTCTTTCTTTCTCTTGGCATTACTGAACGGTGCGAAAATTTAACAGTAAAACTAGACAAGCAACTCGAAAATAAAAGAGGTAAAGTATAAATTTCCAAGACAACATATAAAAAACACTTTGATTGTCATCATTGATTCTTGTAATTTTTAAAACACGACATACTTATGCATTTTTTTGCTAGTTGAGGACATTGTTTACTTATAAAAAATAACTACACTAAGAAAATTTTACACTAGAATTTACTACGAAGGCTGTGGTAAAAACTGCCACAGTTATTTGCCGTTGTTTTGACCAGAAAATAAGGTAAATCCTACGATGCCTTATACAAGGTTATTTTAAAAAAATGGTCAGATTTACCAGATGTACAAGCATGTACTTTAATTAAAAGAAATGATTCATACTATTATGTACTTAGTACAAATTATAACATGATTTTTGCATTGTTTAAAATAAAAATAATGTTTGTTAAATTGATACTTACTGAATGAAACACCGTAGTGTGTTGACATGTAATGTGAAATATTTTCAGTTAGAAATTTTACGTCTATTTCTGACACTTCTCAGAACAAAAATCTTCTCATTAAAAACATATTTGTTCAAAGTCCATAAAGTTTATTTGGTCAATTATGAAACTGTAAAAAGTAAAAAAAAAATATAATTGTGCTGAAAAGAACAGTGCATTCCTCATGCCACGAAATAATCGTTGGCCCTCAAGGGCCGTTGATTGGCAGTTTCTCCCGTATAATCTACGAAAAAGGCTATTTTTCAAAGCTAGTAAAGCTTACAACTCCCCAAAAATATAGACGCCTAGAATTGTATTCATTAGATGCACATAACGTTTTTCTTTACATTCGCCCTCTTGCAACTTTTGGTATGGTTAAGACTTTTGTGAACCCTAAAGGCTGTTTTTTATCAACTTTGTTAAGTTCTAATATAGTTTTTGGCAGGGTAGTTCGTCGTCCGATGGTTCTGAAAAGGACCGGTGAGCTTCTTAAGTAAACTCTTTCTTGACTGAAGTTTCAAGCAAACGATTATCTTCTCTGGTCTGCTGTTGAAGCCCTACACTACTCGGAAAAAAATAACAAAGTTAGAAGCTTTGGAGCTAGTTGTAAAGATCTTTCCCAACGTCTCCTAGTATAACATCAAAAAAAATGGTGTCTCAAGCTCCTTCTATTTTGTGCAGACTCAGTTGTTTTGATGATCTAAGGTAGGGAGATTGATTCGTGATGCTTGCCCGTTGGAGACTGTTCCGTTTGTTCAAGTTTTTTTCCTTCATAACTGTTAGGTTCACCCAGCACAGACGTTGAAAAAGATTGGTGATTCCTGATTGAATGCTTCGAGCCAAAAGGGTGTTATAGGGTCGTCGGTCACTTAAGTTCCCAGCCTTGCAAAGAACAACTCCCCTCGTGACGACTGCCAATGAAAGACTGATGTGGTTTAATAGTGTCCGTCTTTAGTTAACATAGTCTTTTAGTCGAAAAATCTTTACCAGAAATAGTAGTAAAAATGTATTTGTTTGCAAGGTAGTTTAAATTTAGGTGGCCCTTGAAAGAACCAACAAGATTGATGGTTAAGTAGGGAACGATACTTATAATGGCCCTGAAAGGGCCAGTGGTGAAACTTCCAGCTATCCTTATTATTATTCTTGATGATGAAGAGCTGGCTGCAGGTAGCTTGACTCTAACCCTCGAAGTCTCTGTGTATGGAGATCGTGTTGGAGGGAGGTATGCCACTGACCAAAGAATATCTCGTCTCTGGGTCATTCCACAGATAATCAACCGCTCATCGTTAGTCAGGAAAGTGGGCTTACAGAATACCTTCTTGGTAGGTATACCGTTGAGACAACCACCAAGAAGGAAGCCGTTATGGCTGCCCGTACTCTTTAGGACTGTCTTTTCTGGCTCGTATTTGTAGTAAAACATTCTCTGACGGCACCAGGCCAGATGGTGGAATGGCCACATTTCTCTGAGTAACTTAAGCAGGTTATACTCTGGCTACACACGTTTCCTGCTATTGCACTGCAAACTTTATTGATTACAAAATTTTTTTATTGGTGGTACTAGTCAATCCTGAAGGTTCAGGGTGAAAGTAGACTTAGGTCACTTGCCCATTGAAGAAGAGC